TATATCACATGAAAGGGCATATCGAAACGAATTCAACGATGAACCATATCATGATCTTGAGACCCTATTCAGAGTCAGAAACAAACGAAATATTTCAAATATTTCATATTACTGTATGTACTTACCGGTATTTTTTACTGATATGTTTACATTTCGTATTCAATGTAGTTTCCATTATCATGACCTAATCATAACATAAAACTACCAAAAGTGCTTTCTAACTAATGGAAACCACCGTACCAGTCGAAAAACGCTGGCTAGTAAATCTCTGAACACCCTGTATACCATTGCCGAATTTTATAGACATTTCTAATTGTGCCATCTTCTAAACGTTACCGAAATGTTTATGTATATTTCTACCGCCTTTTTGGAATACAATTATTTATATACTTTCTCCTCTACATAAGTATTTTATTTAGCCCCTGCAACAAGTATAAATTTACATAAATTTAATTAACCGAAATGGGCTTGTTTGTCTCAGACTTCATATTGTTCGCCTAGGGCCTCCGAAAATATAAACGCGGCCTTGTGAATCGAACAAAGCGTTACGTCCGCAAATTCATCATTGACATGATCTGGCTTATCATCATACCAATTGCTTTATACTTTTCCGTTTTTCGTCAAATTTCTTTTGTAGGTATGCTTGATCTTATCATCAGACGAAAAGCTCGCGGAAAACGATTGAAATTCAGCGGCACGAAATTACGCTTTCATTGTGGAGCGTGTTTCTCGCATGAACAGGCGAAGCACACGCGGTCTATTTTGAAATGCAAAGGTTTTTTTTTCCTAAAACGCAGCAAGTAAATGGGATAGTTTGCACTCGAAATATGCTGGGAACATTCGGTCGCGAGCGAACTAAAGCTGCCCGGAAACATGTCGAGGATCAAAGCGACGAATTGCATTGGAAATTTGAGCGATTTCTTTGTACGATTTCAACTTTAAGGGCATTATGCGCGCTTCCCAGCCGAGAAGTTCGGCTGGAAAGTGTTTCTTGGACTATCATTATCGTCGCTTTGCGCGTTTTATCGTTCTCTGACTGTGTTTGTTAAGATTTATCTTGCCCCAATTCTTCACGGAGCTACTTTGTTTCGTGTTTCTGAATTGCTAACGAAGCAGAAAATTGAAAACGCGCTGCAAGAATTGGCTCTAAGTTGATTTGCTCGAATAAAATTCTTTTTGAATTGTACGAAAATTATTGTAGCATAAAACGATTATTTTAACACATTTGGAAGATTAAATTTTGGAATGGTCACTTGGAAAATTAAAACAGATGAGTAATGTAATAATATTTGTACAGTAAATAAGTAAATAACATATTAATATGAATTTGTATTTGCTAACTCACTCAATTGATATGTTACAAACAGCAATATTTGATTATTTGGAGCTACGATGAAAAACATCACTGTGCTTTAAATTAATGAAACACAGATATATTTGTTTACCATATGCATTCGAACGATATTACTGATACAACATAATACGTTATGGTAAAATATTACAATAAAATTCGAAATATAACTACGAGCTAATTGTAGTTTTATTTATGGAGTGACAAATTTATTTTAATTTATTCGACCTTAGTCGAAATATCTTGAAAAGTGTTTAAATACTCTAACATTAAATATTTCATCACTGAAAAATTATTAGTTGAATTAATAAGTTAAATACAATTACAAAAACATTTCAAAACAATTGCTTTGTATTTGAAACATGCCAAATACCCTTATAATTGTGATGATGTCAGAAATCCTTGATGACGCATAGAAATTTTATGTGTTTCTAAATTCTAAGAGTGTCTAGGTATTTCAAAATTATCTTACGGCTAATATTGAAAGAAAGTGTTTTGAAACACGAGAAATAGTTATGAGTCATTAAGGAAACATTTTTGTCCTTACGAGGGACCATCCCGAAGTGATAATTTCCGATTTTGATGATACTTGGATATAATGTAGTTCTCGAAAAAATATTCGACACGTATTTTTTTTAGCTGCCAACATTCATGTTAAGAGGGTGAAAATAGCCCCCAAAGTGGGGGGTGAAAATCACATTTTGTTTATGTAGTACAGTCAATTTGAAAGTATTGCCTCAGAAGAAATAAATTTCGAGATCTTAAAAATCCCAAAAAATACTACAGGTTTAATTCAACCGTTATATGTCGCGCTTGGAAAAATTTCGTATGAGAATTATCAGATTTGGGCATAACATTAAATTTCAATATAAATTTACATGCCAGTGAAACTATAATAAAAATTCAATCGCACAACCAATTATCAACACCTCGATAAACAAAATTGTTCCAATATGCATGGTTTCGATGCAGCTATACATGATGACAAGAGGCTTGGAGAATTTGAAAACCTCGTAGAATTTTGTTTCACCAACACATCAAGTATAACTTGTAATCGTTGTAGTAGTGTTATTTGTATGAAATGTTCGTGGTGTCAGGAGCATTTATGTTTTAATCATTTTCTAGTGGAATATCATTATTGCAATCAATATATTGAATGACCTAATACTTTCATGATGTTAAGCCTTTTAAAAAATTGCAGGAACTAATATTAAAACCAGCTCTTTTCAGAGCTCCCATATATTCATAAACGTGGAACAGCTTGGTTTCAGTTGCCAAAAACTTGAAAAAATTTGAGTGCAGAAGCCTCCTCAATAAAAGCTTTGTGCCGGCGAGGAAAAATCTTAACGGTCACCGCCGGCTAACTTTTATACTTGAGGCGGTAATTCTGGTCCCAATTGAAAAAAATTTGTCAAGTTGACTGTAAAACAGTTATCAGTAAAGACGTAGAAGCTCTTTACATACTTGATTATATGCATTCGAGGCCGCGTCCCGCAAAAGTACGATAAAAATACAACTTCGTTATCTATATTTACAATGTAAAAATGAAAATTCCATTTTATCCGTATTTTATACTTACTAGTATACTTTTCACATAAAAATTACAGGAAAATACAACAACTTTTAACCAGAAAAATGAACAAAAAAGTGTCATTTTTTAATATATTATTTAAACAAATGCGAATATTTTTATTGGTCTAGCACTGCTACTTGTACATTCGGATTCCGCATTAAAAAATACACAACTTTGCAATTCAAAATGTGATTTTCACCCCCACTTTGAAGGCTATTTTTACCCCCTTAACATGAATGTCAGCAGCTAAAAAAAAAAATACATGTCAAATATTTTTTCGAGAACTATATTATATCTAAGTTTCATAAAAATCGGAAATTATCACTTCGGGATGGTCCCTTGTTAGACTACAAAAAAAGATTACAGTTTGAAATGAAGGATAATGAATATTTTATCGGTTTTATATGCATACTAATTTTCCTAACCGCAGAAGGAAAACGCAAGTTTTGTTTCAATTATTAATTAAATTCACTGTTTTAATTGATCATAATCTTTGAAGATGATAGAGTTTCGTAAAGTGATGAATTTGTGATCATCGTACGATTGGAATGATACTTAACTTATCACGTGGTCGGAGTATTAATCAAATGACTCGACATAATTGATTGATTCAAAACATTTAGCTTTTTTATTGAAACATTCAATTCAATAATAGTAAGTATCTGTTAGTGTACAAACCAAGTTATTTAATTTTATGCTGATTTATTACTATTTTTGAAATTAGAACTCTTAATTAATTTTGAAACCTAAAGCAATATTATCAACCTCTAATTTATATGTAAGTCAATTTTTTATAACAGTGATAATTTGTAATGTCTACAAGTATATTTAATAAATTAAAATTAACATAATATTTTCAGTTTTCAAGTATACATTTTAACATATTTTTTGTTATAATAACGATTCTAATATTCATAATTTTATCAATAATATACCCAGAATAATAGGAACTGAAGGTGTAATTAATTTTATATTTTGCTATGCCTTTAGAGATTGCAATATCAAGTTAATAATGTAAAACGATTCAGATATCGATAAATTAATTAACAAAATAACACGAATAATCAATGCTTCTTCTGTTTGCATTGCACTACATTTGCATCAGGTTTATTTCATAAAAGATCTTTCTCAATTGTATCATTAATACTGGAACACCCTGTATAAACCTACAATAACATCTCATTCAACAATATTTAATTGATATGAAAAGTAATTGAAAATATCTAATCAATTTTATCACAATCTTCACATACTATATTGTTTATAAAAAAGAAACAAGAAATATAAACGTTAACACAAACGTTAACACTAAATTTCATTCTTAATATTATCGAATTTTCTTCAGTATCTATGGACTATTGCAAACTTTTCTAAAAAGTGCTTAAAACGTCGACTGATCATTTATTTTTACAATAAATTTAGTACAAAATTAAAAATTGCAGATAAAACATTTATAACTAATATTTCTGTGAAGTTCTTTAGTATAAGAAGGAAGAAAAAATTTTAATTTTAATTACTTATGTTGTCATTATTTTATCGAGAAGCAACAAATAATAAACAAAAATAAAATAAAAACAATAAATATTTTGTAAAAGAGTTTTGTAAATAAGCTTTATGATGTTCGAAGACAAAAATAAAAAACAAAGGAATTTAAATAACTTTAAAAAATTTAATAACAGTTTCTGAAAAATCAATTCTTTCATTATATTATTTAAAAAATCAATACATATAATATTTAAAAATCAGTAAGAATGGACACTACTACAACGCGAAATAATTTGAATGATTCCTGCAACAGGACTTCCGTCAAAGAGGAAGTCTAGTTCTCCAAATGATCAGCAGATGGCACTGATAGAGACTAATTCATACATAGATGCAGTCTACATACGTACACGTGATAGTTTCACGATACGTCGTTACGATAGGCTTCGAGTCACGGTCGTTCGAAGTGCACGTGAGCTTCAAATGAACGGGATCTCGTTTCATTCAGAAACTACGAAGCCGCGGTTCTGCTAACCGCGTCTCGAATCTGCACATATTTCACCAACTATAGTGCTGCATACGACACGTGTTCATCTTTGACGTGCCGAAATGACGCTACAAGCGATTAAATGGGAAAACGGCAGACTGGAGATCCTCGATCAGATACTGTTGCCGGCGATTTCTCGGTACATTCCTGTCAAAGGTGTGGAGGATGGTTGGAAAGTGATCAATAATATGCAGGTACGTTTCTTTATAGAAAATATAAAAATAAATCTTTCGTAGTTGATTTCAATGGCTTACATGGATGAAAATATCGTTTTAAAGTGTACAGATATGTTAAGTAAAAAAATAAAATATTACACCATTTAAGTCAAAATAAAATAATTCCATGATACTTTGGAATGATTTGTGCAAGTAGAATTACTTTATTCAAATTGCTTATTGACTATGAAAGAATTATTGATTATTTTAATGGAGCAAGTTTGCTCTATAATTTTGATTAAGTTTGTGTGATTTGTGCAGGTTCGAGGTGCACCAGCTATAGCCATTGTAGGCTGTTTAAGTTTAGCGACAGAGATTAAGAATGAAGAATACATGGACAAAAAGAGTCTTCGAAGAGACATAGAGGGTAAATTGAATTATTTAGTGTCTGCCCGTCCAACAGCAGTTAATATGAAAATTGCAGCAGAAGAATTAATTCAGTTGGCTAATAAACTTAGCAAAGATGAGACTGTTAATGTCATTGAAATGAAACAAAGGTATGAGAACTAGTTTTATGTAATTCATTTTCATCATTAATAAAATTGATGACTATTTATAGGTTTCTTCAAGCCATAGAAGCTATGCTTGATAAGGATGTTGCTGATAATAAAGCAATTGGAGACTATGGTGCACAAGAGATTTTAAAAAATGTGTCTGGGGATAACTTTGTCAGAATTTTGACACATTGTAATACTGGCAGCCTTGCGACAGCAGGTTATGGCACAGCTTTAGGTGTTATTAGATCTCTCCATAAAAAAAATAGTCTTGGTAACGTTTGCATGATCTTAGTCACTAACAATTATTTACAATTTAATGAAGTTATGCAGTACTATTTACCGTTACAGAACATGCATATTGCTCAGAAACAAGGCCATACAATCAAGGAGCACGATTGACTGCATATGAATTAGTTTATGAAAAAATTCCTGCCACTCTCATTTGCGATGACATGGTAGCAGCACTAATGAAATCAAGAAATATTTCTGCTGTAGTCGTTGGAGCAGATAGAGTCGCAGCAAATGGTGATACCGCAAATAAAATTGGAACTTATCAAGTAAGATATAAAATTACATTACATTGGTTGTAATCTCTAAAACATTATTTATATTGCTAACACTTTAATTGCATTATCTTTAGATTGCAATTGTAGCTAAGTATCATAATGTCCCATTCTATGTGGCGGCACCACGAACCTCTATAGACTTTAGTATACCTAGTGGTGATCATATTATTATCGAAGAAAGGCCAGAAAGGGAATTAACCCATATTAACAATCAGCGAGTCGCTGCACCTGGAATACAGTGCTGGAACCCAGCCTTCGACGTAACCCCTGCTAGTCTGATTAGAGGCATTATAACAGAAGTTGGAGTGTACAGACCCAAAGATTTGATACAATTGAAGAACTGTGAGAACTTGTAAAAGCAGAAGTGACTAATACAAGGAAAGAGAAAATCTTTTTGATGCATTTATACAAAAGGATTAATTAGTGGTTCCAATGTTACAAAAAACTTGTTAGCAGGTCTTGTTTATTTAAAAATTTCGCGTTATAATAAAATTGTTGGCAGGTTACGCTTATTTCAAACGTTAAGCCTGATGAACGCAGAAAAATGTACCGTGGATATACGTATTTGCGTTTAAAAATGCCTTATTAACCTCGCTGTGATTTTTACAAATATATTTATAGTGATGACTACCTTGAATAGATAGTTGTATTGATATTACGAGAAAATATCGCTAATCGTGATTACAAAATATAAAATAATCGAAAACATTTTTGTAATAATGCATTTGTACGATTATGGTTAACCCGCGTATCATCAGATGGCGCGCGTAATCAAAAATTTGACGGAAGACCACATACAGTTAACCATTTTCAATTTTGTGTCGCGTAAATGATTTAATTTTATCGCAAAATGGATTATTTATCATGTCCGTGAATATATTTAAAAATATACATTTTTACATATACCAAGTGTGATAATAGACTATGATTATATACGAGGGATAAAGTGACCGATTTGAGTGAAAGAAATTTTGTAAATTCCCGCGTTACATTATGATCTAATTATTTGTACTTTCGATTTATTTAACAACATTAGTGATTCTTCGATAAATTTATTGCATTTTCAAATATAATACAAACGTTTCTCGCAACCATAATATTGTGTTAACTATTGAATTAACTGAAGCCAAGGTGTACCGTAACAATCGATTTCCTTGTAATCGATAAGTCCTAGCGGTGTCGGTTGTGCGGCTTCGTCCCGCGTTTTCACGTGGACGCGTTTATACACGATCAGTCGGGGACGTGATTTTGACCGGAAACGTTTGTGATACAGAATCGAAAGTTGTCAATCGGATACAGTGCGAATCGAATGTTTACATTGTAACGGCGACGGACAGATTCGACAGTCGGCGAATTGCGACGCGTGCAGTTCCTTCGGGATAACTTGAGGATCTATTTTCGCCGTTGAAATGCGCGCGGGAACACGTTCGCGGCGGGTTTCTCGAACCGTAGTGCTTTAGTACGGCCAGTCTCTCCGCTTCGTGCAGAACTTCGCCGATCCCGGAATAGTTTTCGGCGGTTGCTCCGTTAAAGTTTTTCGTGTGGCCGTCGCACAGGCCAATCTGCAGTCGTTTGCTCGCGATTTTACCGTACATAACCCCGAAAACAGTTGTGTGTGAATCGGTCAACTCCGCGTAAAAGTATCGTTTCTCGATTTCTTTCGGACGGTTCGCTTGCTTTAACGGTCGTTCACCCTGGAAGCTGATACGGAGAACACGAGGATGGATGCCACGGACGTCCTCGGTCCTGACGCTTCGTCGGGAAACGACGAGGGTGTTCTGAACAACAACGAAAACGATGATGCGCCTACCGTTGAGGAGACGTACGAGGTCACCACCACGAAGCGTAAAACCATTCGGACCAGCTATAAGATCCAAGAAGTAAGTGACGACACATATAAGTGACACGTGCGAATTACGGTAACCTGGGTTCGTCGCTAGCGCCCCGACGTGGGTGTATCAGAAACAGAATCGCCGCGTGCGTATGAGCTGTCCTTGTGCAGGCCTTAAAAAATGCCCTTCTTCGAAAAACTAGTTAAATGACTACAGTGTATGTATTTCCAGTGCAACATAGGCTTTCTTTAGTTAGAAGCAGGAATAGAGGGCGAGGGACCTCCATCATTTGTTTTCGTTTTTGGAACGGTCTAAAAGAAACTTAACGTACATATAAAGCTGTATAACGCGAGGATATACAATATAATGGTGTTGCACAGCATGTAATAATGTAAGGCGAGATAATACAACGCGTGGTAGCATAACATGAGGCTATATTACGTGTGTCGATATAACGCGGGTTTATACTATGCATAGCAATGCAACGCGAAAATATACAACACGTAGCAATATATCTCGAGATTATGCAACGCATAGTGATATAATGCAGCGCTATACCACGTGTGGTGTTTTATAGTGGGTAAGGTAACACGAGGATATGCAAGATGAAGCTATATAACACGTGATGGTATATCGCAAGGTGAATCTAACGTGATGTTAGACTACGTGATGTACAGTATAATTATAAACTATATCACATTTGAATACAAAGCAATATGCAATATAAAGAAAGGCTACAGAACTTTAACGTATATAATGTGTGATAATATAGTGTGTGTTTATTAAATGCAAGACTGTATAATAGGATATTATACAACGCGTAGTAATAATATAATGCGTTTAAATAACGAGTGGTGATACAACGCAAGTTTTATACAACTCGAGAATAGGCAATGCTCTACAATATGTGATAATGTAACGCGAGACTATGTTATACGTGGCTATATAACGCGACATTATACAAAATTAAAGTATACAAATATATAATTCGAGGCTACACACGAAAATGTAACTCGAAACTATTCGTCGCGTAGTAATGAATCGCAGGGATTATATCTTGCATGATAATATATTGTGATATGATACTACATTTGATAATATAATGTGCGGTTATATAATGTGTGGTGATATAATGCGAGACTGTATAATATGAGGCTATAACTATATATTGTTAGGCTATATCACTCGTGATATAATGATATAATCTGAGGCTATTTAACACAAAACTGTGCAATATAATTATACATATATCTATACAACTCGAGAGTATACAAGCAAGGCTATACAAGGCGTGGTGATATAAGAAGAGTTTACTGTAGTAATATTCTTTTAGCGAATCGTTAACTCTTTTGTTGCAACTATACTATGTAAAACAATAAACTATTAAATTCTTGTCTTTTGTTAGACCTAAACGAGGTCCAAGTAATACAATTCCTAATACTGTCAAAGATATTTCTTGTCTTTTGTGATTTTGATTCTCTGTTATATCTTCTCAAAATATTACAAATTCGTAATATTATATCATTTTTCTTTAAATAAATTTTCATATTAAAAAATAGTTGTTTTTTACTATTTTCTTATTAGTGATACCTATAATTATTCAAAAATGCATTTTTTTTTAATTATAAAAATTATGCAACAAAGGATTAAAAAAAAGTGTGTCTTCAAGAAAGTAGGATTTAGTAGAGATAAATAGGAATTTCCGTCAGGAAGCCTACGTTGTATTGGGTGTCCATTATTCATTTGTGGTTTAGTGTAAGAACTGCCAATGTCATATTTTTTTACAAAAATGAGATAACCAGTACTGAAAATTTAAATCATTGTATACTCTATTCAAAGAATAATTTCAAATTTTACCTAGAAATGGTTATAATAGCAAATGCCAACATTTTTCTCGAAATAAACTTTCTACAAAAAATACCAAAACTAAACAGTTCTCAATAATCTAGTCTTTAATTCGTTCATTTATATCAGAAAAACATTTAAAATTTATGTCAGAAATAATATTGGTTCTAATATTGGTACTTCTTGCATTAAATTACAGAACATATCCATGGGATTTCTTAAATTGGGTCATGAGAATATGTATCACTTCTCTGATTTAACTACTATTAAGCGGTGAACAATTTGCACTCCTACACGCGGCGGTTCTGGTTACAAACGCGTCATCGTACATTGTCAAATCGCCTTAAATCTCGATGAATTCGACTAGTTGAAAAACTATTTGTCTCTCGTTTTGTTTAATGCACAACAAAACGAGCATCATCAAATCGGACGTCGTCGCAGCCGGTTCGGTACACGCGTCGAAAAACGATGACTCGAGATTTAAAGCGTTCTTCGAGAGTACGACCGATATGTCGGCGATTCGTGCAACGCCAGAAATAAACGCGCAGACCGTTCTGTTCTGACGGTGGCTCGAAAATCTCGGTTCATTCTGATATTCGTCAAGGATAAACGGACTTATTTCGATCCACCGGATTCGGTGGGATTTACCAACTTTATTTGGCGCGTAACCGTACTCGGTCGCGATGAAAATTGGGCGTTATGCCCGTGCTATCGCCGACAATGAATAAACTTACGCGCCAACAGGATTCCGAGCTTTCCTTTGGCACCTTATCGCCGCATTTCTCCCGGCCACTTTTGATGATAATTTTGAATACGATTTACAGTCGCATGTTTTTATTGTTATGTCATTTAATTCAATAATAAAGAACGTAGATCTGAGATAATGTTCTTATACGTATATAAGTAAAGATTTATAAGACAAATATTGATTAACTTGTTAACATTGTAACATTGACTTTGGCCACTAGAGTAAACATCATTTATTTGTTAGTGTGGTAGTAGACCACTAGACTGCGGAAGTTTACGTAAAGACGATATTCTGTAAATAAGCAAAATATATGCAAAATGTTTGCGAAATGTAAAGAGGATAAATATAGTAAGTACACATCTTTCTAGGGATTAAAATATCACTTTAATTGAGATAATTTTAATTAATTAATGCAGATATATATATTTTATATTCGTTACGGAAATAATTATACTATATTGTACATTTAAAGCTACTACACCGCGTTTGCTAACTTTAATAAACAGGAAATTGATACGATTTTTTGTTATTCCGAACAATATCTTTTATAAATTTTGAACAGATGAAATTTTTATCTATTTCAAATGATAATCCTTAAATGTGAAAATATTTCTTCTTAATTTTTAAAAAAGTTGTTTGTTATAGTTTAGTATAAAAATAATATAAAAGAAGGCTTTTAAAAATTCTTTAAAATTTCATTTTGTTATTCATTTTAACACTTAGGTTATTTTTATGTTTGAAAATTGCGTTAGTAATGAAACAATCTTCATAATAATTCTCAGTAAGTTTAAAAGTCCCTACTGAAATTCGGAGCCAAGTATACAGAATTTAATAGGGATTTAATTACCGTTCGACACTTAATTTAGTCTAAATTAGTTTTAATTTGAATTTAAAATTTAATTTCACCCAGTGTAGGACGATCTTAAACTTTCATTTAGATCTGATTTAATTTAAGCTCGGTAAATGTGGAATTTTCTGTGCATTCTAATTTTATTTTCAGAATTCTGTAAATTAAAAGATACATTTAGTAAAGGAATTAAAATTAATAACTAGAAAAGAAAAGAATATTTTACAAATGTTATTGTGTATATAAACATAGAAGTGTTTATTTTATATTAAAGTCGGTATTCATTAATTGAAATTTGTACATATAGGGCCTTATTTCTGTGGGTATTGATGTTTTTATTAATACTAAAAATTAGAGTCAAGTGAAGAAAACACAAAATAAATCATCGTTGACCGAATTATATTTTAGGAAACAAAAAGTAAAATATTGGCATTAATGTTCGCCATATAAAATGTATAAAAATGTTCAATGTTCATTTTATACAGCACTTAATTTATTAAATTGTTTTGCTTTTCGTTTGAAGAATCAACATTAATATTGTTCAAATGATTATTTAATATAAATATAATTAATATAAAATTGAAGAATAATATAAAAGTAACACAATGTATAATATTTGGTTTAAGAACCGAATGTTAGGGTGATACGTAAATACTTGCATAAAAACTATATACTAATTTTCAAATATTTAATTCAGAGTATATCAAAAAGTTATATTGAAGAACTGTTCGACAATTCAATATGAAATCCTCAATTTTGTCGGAAGTAAAATACATTATCGAACAGAAACTTTTTAATCAAAATTAATACGAATGAAACAGAAAAATGCAAAAGTTCAACCAGATAACATTTTTAAATTTTACAATTATACAACCTAATAATTCCTTGCAAAATTATCTTTTATACTTTTCTGAAACCTGAATTAATGTACTTCGCAATAAGCTACGCGCAGAATATAAAAATCTTTTCCAAACTTTCTATGAAACTCTGAAAACAGTTTCAGAGAAGTTTGAAGGATTCTCAATAACAAACCACACCTCCACACAACGCCCACCCTTTCATCCTTTTAAACAACAATTTAAAACGCGAAAATAGAAACAATGCGTTTCACGTGTGTCGTGAATCAGATATTTCAAAAAATTCATCAAACTTTGCGCGTTTCGCGTTTTTTTATCACACCAAACTGAATATTTTTGATAGGTTGTTTTGATGCTTGTTTAAAGCAGAGCGAAATGAAAATATAATAGGGAAGTTCGCGCAGGAAATTAACCTTCAGCTGAATTTAAAGTGACCGAAAATAATTTTTGATTTTTCCATCATGTTCATATATGGAAATGAATTATATAATGTAGGAAGGTTTCTGAATAACAACTAAGTCTTTGAGAATCAGGATGGTATCTATATTTTAAAAGATCTCTCTCTAACGAGGAACGGTGACAGACTAACTTTCCCTCAACCAGCGCGAAATAAGGAAAACTCTTTCACCAAAGGGCCACGTGACCCCGGTCAAAGTGGCCTGTCCGTCACCCCCATACAGTCAGGGACAGACCCACCACTTAGGCCCTAAGTAACTGCCAGTCCAACCGTCTACAATAACAAAATTTACAA